TTCACTCACAACAATAGTTTACCCACAACAATAGTTCACTCACAACAATAGTTTACCCACAACAATAGTCCACTCACAACAACAGTTCACTCACAACAATAGTTTACCAACAACAATAGTTCACTCACAACAATAGTTCACTCACAACAATAGTTTACCCACAACAATAGTTCACTCACAACAATAGTTTACCCACAACAATAGTTTACCCACAACAATAGTTTACCCACAACAATAGTTCACTCACAACAATAGTTTACCCACAACAATAGTTCACTCACAACAATAGTTTACCCACAACAATAGTTCACTCACAACAATAGTTTACCCACAACAATAGTTTACCCACAACAATAGTTTACCCACAACAATAGTTCACTCACAACAATAGTTTACCCACAACAATAGTTCACTCACAACAATAGTTTACCCACAACAGTAGTTTACCCACAACAATAGTTCACTCACAACAATAGTTTACCCAAAACAATAGTTCCCCCACAACAATAGTTTACCCACAACAATAGTTTACCCACAACAATAGTTCACTCACAACAATAGTTTACCTACAACAATAGTTTACCCACAACAATAGTTCCCCCACAACAATAGTTCACCCACAACAATAGTTCACTCACAACAATAGTTTACCCACAACAATAGTTTACCCACAACAATAGTTCACCCACAACAATAGTTTACCCACAACAATAGTTCCCCCACAACAATAGTTCACCCACAACAATAGTTTACCCACAACAATAGTTCACCCACAACAATAGTTTACCCACAACAATAGTTTACCCACAACAATAGTTTACCCACAACAATAGTTTACCCACAACAATAGTTCCCCCACAACAATAGTTCACCCACAACAACAGTTAACCCACAACAACAGTTCACCCACAACAATAGTTCACCCACAACAATAGTTCACCCACAACAACAGTTAACCCACAACAATAGTTCACCCACAACAACAGTTAACCCACAACAATAGTTCACCCACAACAATAGTTCACCCACAACAATAGTTCACCCACAACAATAGTTCACCCACAACAATAGTTCACCCACAACAACAGTTAACCCACAACAACAGTTCACCCACAACAACAGTTAACCCACAACAACAGTTAACCCACAACAACAGTTAACCCACAACAACAGTTCACCCACAACAACAGTTCACCCACAACAATAGTTCACCCACAACAATAGTTCACCCACAACAATAGTTCACCCACAACAATAGTTTACCCACAACAACAGTTCACCCACAACAATAGTTCACCCACAACAACAGTTCACCCACAACAACAGTTCACCCACAACAACAGTTAACCGACAACAACAGTTCACCCACGACAACAGTTCACCCACAACAACAGTTAACTCACAACAACAGTTAACCCACAACAACAGTTCACCCACAACAACAGTTCACCCACAACAACAGTTAACCCACAACAACAGTTCACCCACAACAATAGTTCACCCACAACAACAGTTCACCCACAACAACAGTTCACCCACAACAATAGTTCACCCACTACAACAGTTCACCCACAACATTAGTTCATATACCTACCAATAGAGTTTTCTTCACTGCCAATAAGAATTTACCGACCAATAAATCCTTCCCACCAGAAATGCAATTTTCCCACGGTCAAAAGAGTTCTCCCACGAGAAGCAAAGTTTTCCCACGGGACTAGATTTCTTCCCACGCTTCATTTCCTTTCCATAGCACAGCTCAGTGCGGAATTCTGCCGCCCATGTTCATCTTCAATTCTCTCTCTGTCATTTCTCTGTCTTTTCCATGTCTCTATCCTGAGATAATCTCGCTTGTAAATATTCAGACTGTATTGAAATATGATAGTAATGTGTGTGTGTGTGTGTGTGTGTGTGTGTGTGTGTGTGTGTGTGTGTGTGTGTGTGTGTGTGTGTGTGTGTGTGTGTGTGTGTGTGTGTGTGTGTGTGTGTGTGTGTTGTGTGTGTGTGTGTGTGTGTGTGTGTGTGAGTAAACTCTATCATAAAACACAAGGTTATATGGCAGTTGTTCTCGCTGGTTCGTGCTCTAACAACAATAACGACATTAACTAGCTAGAAGAAATCCATTTAGCTAACCAAGGGCCCATAACTCTCGTCTCCTGCCTGTAATTACCTTCAGATTCGCGGTGCAATTCCAGATAATTTAATGTACTTTTTTTCCCCTTCAGTTATGTTGGAGGATATAAGCCAATCACAGCTTAACATCGATTCTGTGTAAATTCTTATGGATAGTAAACAACCTCTGTGCCTTAGTGGAAGAATGGAAAATATTGAAGATGGTTGCAGATGTTTGAAATATTTAAAAATATTGCAAGAGTGTACAAGAGTGAAGGTGGTTGAGCAAGTGGTTGCTGGGTGGGCCACTCAACCATAAATTGCACTGCTAAATATCATCGCCATATTAATGTTTTTTTTCCGGGACTTTTGCCAGTAAAGTGCAAGCCACATGGACCATGAATACATTAAATCGTATTTATGAACGCGATTCGATTTTGTAAAACGGCCCTGGTAACCTGGAATGTCTGGTGACCTA